TTAAGGGCGTTTCTCCTGGGCAAGAAACACCCTAGGGCGTTTCTTTGTGGGAAGAAACACCCCGGGCGTAAAAGATACACCCAAACCCCAGATTGGTACCTCCAGGTGTGCTGGATTTGTTGGCGCTCCTGCCGAACTCCGCGGGCACACCCAGACGTCAGAAGACAGCCAATGGGAAGAGCCGTGGGACATGGACTACCACGAGAACACGAAGGAGAACCTCCCTTCTTGGACCATCCAAATCCGATTCCCCGCAGCCGAGGCCCTGGGCCCAGCTCCTGGACCGCCTGGGTCATACGCCAGAAGGGGGGAGAGAAACAACCTCCACGATGACGGATCTGGACACTCCGACTCCGAACTCTACGAGACTCCGACCCAATGGGTCGAGCATCAACTCCCCGCCACTGAGGGAGACAGTCAGGGAAACGGAAGGCATGTCTTGGTTAGTCACCTGGAGGTTGAACGCCAAGGATCACTGGCAACTTTGAATATCATGGGCACGAAAGCACAACTACCAGATCCAGAGTGGGACGCATGGACTAAAACGCCATGGGACGGAGCTGGAGCAGACCGGGAGAGAAATGAGCACAAATTCCCGCCTACTCCGGGGAGTGGGAGATGGTGAATGGGCAGGCCTGCTCAACCTGGTCAAGAGGAACAAGAAGAGGCCACCGTCGTGCGCGACACCTCAAAAGAAAACCCTTCCTGCTGATGACCCCAAGGAAGAGAGTGCCGGCCGAGGGAGTTTGGGAACCAAAATTCGACGAGGTTTGGGAGTTCGTCTTCAACCCGAAGGTAAACTACGGAGGGGAAAACCAAGACCAAGACGAGCTGACCTACCCCAACTACCCAAGGCGAGCACGCCGAATGGAGGAAGGCTGAAATGGAAGGCCGCCGTCAAGACGGCCAAGCTCTTCAAAATGAATCAAGGGAAAGGCGAGAGCGTGGTGAAGGACTTCCAGAAGAACTACTACGCAAACTCGTCGAGGAAAGCCAAAGCCTCGGTCAGGAAGACTGTGGAGGGCATCCTGGACGGTTTAGGAGTATGGGGCAAAACCGACTGTTGGCTACCACAAACCCTTGAGCAGGTGGGTGCAGTCCTCAAGGAGTCGAACTATAAGGCGGGTTGCGCCTACCTGTCCGAATACAAGCAGCTCCTGATCGAGAAGGGTACGCCTTGGACGCATCAAATGCAGAGAACTTTCACACAGGTGGCGAGGGCCCTGAAGCGCGCTCAAGGCCCGACGAAGAAAGCAGCGGAAGTACCAGAGGATCTATGGATGGAGAAGTGCAGGAAGGAAGTCAATGAGACGAAGGCAAGCCAGATCCACAACCCAGCACTGATGTTCGCTTTCGCTACAGTTTGGATGTTGAGAGAGGTTGAACTGGCGGCCATATACAAGGAGGACATCACCATCAAGGAGAAGGATCGCATCGTGGCCCTGAATCTGAGGATCACGAAGGGCGACCAAGAAGGATTGGGAGTCAAAAGAACTCTTCAATGCTGCTGCGAAGGTGAATGCGACTGGACCGCCCCCTGCGCATTCATGGTCACCAAGACGGCCCTTGATGCAGTGCCCATCGAAGAAGACAAAATAGTGCATGGGGACACCGCCGATCCGATCGAGAAATCCCAGATCATCGCAGCTTGGAGAGACCTATTTGGCAAAGCAGTCTCCGGGCATGTGAAATCCACCAACGTGGGCCCTATATAACAACAACTTCTCTCGCGCGTGCCCCATCATGCCGCGCAGCCCTTTGAGCATAGATCCGCGCGCGCGGGCGCGGCCGCTCAAATCCAATTGACCCGACTGAAAGCTCTAAGTGTTCAGCGGGGAAGCCTCACTCAAAAACACTGTGCACACAAATTTTCAACAAATCTGCGATGTAAAGACTGCTGAAAACATCCATCTAGACAATCGACCGAAGCAGAGGCCGGCGTATACCGGGCATATAGGGTAAAAATTATTGCTAAGTTTTCCAGCTGTGGTATACCACAGGTGGTTTTTCTTGAGCCATAGCATTTTTTGTCAGCAACACTTCATGCACCGCGAATAGACAAGGCAGGATAAGCCTTTTGGACAACATAAGCCTTAAGGCTTATCTTGTTACCTCTTCTTGGACTCGATAAGCTTTCAAGCCAAAAGGCTTATCAGATAGCACTCTCGGCTCTCTAGGCACTCCGGGAGAAGGTCAGGCGCCCTGCAATACATACGCAGGGGCTGGCAAGTCCTTCAAGTTGCCTACCTGGGCCGATGGAAATCCAACATCATCCTCCAGTATGCAGAGGAAGCCCTAGAGACGATGCCAGTGATGGCCAAACCCAACAAGCCGAAGGGTGCAAATAGCACGCAGTTCGAGCACGACAAGACCACGACAAAGGGGAAATCCACCGAATACGAAAGGAAGCTCAAGCTGGAGATTGACCACCTGAAGAAGGCACAAGAGAAGCTAGATGATTCCATCGTGAGATGGGAAGAGATATCAAAGAAGAACCAGGGCCTACTACCACCGACAGTGATCACCAAAGGCTGCGTGCGTGCCAACAGAAAGATCCCTGTTGCTTCTCCAGTCGCAACCTGGCACACCAGATGTGGCTGGCCCTACGGATCTTCATCCTTCTCCTTCGGGCTGGACAGCAACACAGTGTCATGCATCAAGTGCATGAACCTCGCGCAAAGCATATGAGCCAGAAAGATGGCGAGGGGAAAAGGGCACAAAGAAAGTCCAGCT